TGCGGAGGGGGAAGGGTGCGGATTTGCACGCTGATCGACGGCGTGTCCTCCTGATCCTCGCCAACCTTCTCGTCCTCCTCTTCCCCACCATCGCCATCCTCCTCCTCTTATTCCGCTTCTTCATCCTCCTCTTCCTCATCCTCCTCTTCCTCATCCTCCTGATCCTCGCCACCCTTCTCATCCTCCTCCTCCTCACCATCGGCAACACCATGCAACAGGTCATCAACAGCACTGCCGCCATGAAGCTCACGTTCCTGCGCTGCTGTGTTGAGCTGCACAGGCAAACGTTTCGCGGACCAGGATCTGGATGCCCAGCGGTACTACGACAGCGTTAGCCGTTTCGTCGGGCTCGGCGCTCCCGTCGTTGCGTGCTTCCAGCAGAAGGCCTTCATGCAGAACGGGCCGCCCGCGAGCAGGGGGAGGGCGAAGAGTTCTGCAGCCCCCCACGATTCGCTCGCTCGACAATGAGCAAGGAAGTCACAAGTCATCCACAAGCCACTTATCCCTAATTTCCTCGAGGGTCCAACGTGTCCAAGCGAGCTTGACTGCGTTTCGGGAGCTCCTTTCGCCTGTGTGGCGGTCGTGAGTCTTATATTTTTTTCTGGCCGTGGGGCCCCTCCCTCCTTGCCCCCCCTTCGCCCATCTATCCTTTTCCGCCCGCGCCTCCTCCCTCCTCTTCGCCCGCTTCCCCTTCTCCCCCTGCTCCACCCTGCTATTCGAATATTCCCTTCCATCTTCCCCCCCCCTTCCCCCCTTTCTCCTCCTCCTTCCCTGTTCCGCTACGCTGCTCCCCCCTCCACTCCCCTGGAAGTCCCGCGCCGCGCGTGCCGAATCGGTGACGAGAAGCTGCGGCTCGCTGCAGCGATTGCGCTGTGCGACGGGCCGCCCCAAGCGAATGGGACATCAAACAACGAATCCAGATTCTGGAACAATTCCTTCCTCTTCTCTTTAGATTTTTCACGCCTTTTTCCCCGCTTCCCACCCCCTTCGCCCCCCACCGCCCTCCTCGCTTCCCGCCGTCCCCCTTCCTCCCGCCTGCCCGTCCTCTTATCCTCATGGCCCCCCCTCCTCCTCCTCATCCTCCTCCTCCTCTCTCCTCCTCCTCCTCCTCCTCCTCTCTCCTCCTCTCCTCTCCTCCTCCTCCTCCTCCTCTCCCTTCTCCTCCCTCTCCGCTTCCTCCTCCTCCTCCTCCTGCTCCTCCTCCTCCTCCTCCTAAGAAAGATGTCAACGACGGGGGGAGCGTCCTTGAGCCTAAGCTGACCAGGACACTAACAATGAACAGCACCGACAAACGACCTTTGCGTCGTGCCTGGGCATACCGTTTATGCATCAAGCCCAGTATCGGACCGGAAGGTCTGTTCGGGGATCATCCGTGGGCGGAATATCCTGGACAACCTTGTCGGGCTGGAATATTGGATCCTAGAGAGTGGTGTGTTCGGCAGGCATACCCCGAAGCTGGTGCTCTCTTCCTGGGCATTGCCGTTGCCTTCCCATCTCCCAACCATGAGTGGAATTTCCAGATGCACGAGGGGATGGGATTTCCGGGTCATCGTGTGCAGGCTGTAGTGTATCTGTCTTCGGATATCGAGGTTGATCTCTTGTGTTGTGGAATAAAGTTTCCAGGATGGGCCATTCGGCGATGTGTGAAACAAGATTGCCTGCATGTCAGGGCTTCCTTTCATTTTGGCGTTTGACCCTGTCTTGCGTGCTTTGACCAGCGCATCGCCTCTCATCCTGCTCGCCTCTTCTCTTTTGCTCACGACGTTGGATGTGCATTCCGCGACGTGTGCTTCTCTTTGCCTGTCATTGTCACGTGGATGGTACAGAGTGCGGTGGTCACCGAGCTTGGTCTGAACCTCGACAAGCGTGTTGGTGTCATCCCTGGATCTCGGGATCCCCTGGCAGTTGTGCGGGCCTTTCGGGCCACGGGGCTGAACTCGGAAAGAGCGCGTTCTGTGGTCGCTTGGAGGGGGGGGGAGGTTTGAAACCGGACCGTGACGGGGCCGTGACGGGGGGGGGAGTTTGAACCCCCCCCCTTGCCGTGACGGGGGGGGGGTTCGAACCCGCCCCCTCCTCCCTCCTCTGCTTCCCCTCTCCTCGGGCTGGCGCTTGTGTCGGCGGCGGCTGGCGACGGCGGCGGGGACGACGATTTCCATTTCTGGGCCGGCGCCGGCGCCTGCGGCAGCGGGCGGCGGTGGCGGGGAGCGTCGACGAGGACGACGGTGGTGGTGGTGGTGGTGGTGGGTTGTTGTGGTGGTGGCGGTGGTGGTTGTGGTGGTGGTGGTGGTGGTGTGGTGGTTTGTTGTTGTGGTGGTGGTGGTGGTGGAAGTGGTGGGTGGGTGGTGTGGTGGGGGTGGTGGTGGTTTGGTGGTGGTGTGGTGGTGGTTTGTGGTGGTGGTGGTGGGTTGTAGTGGTGGTGGTGGTGGTTTGGTGGTGGTGTGGTGGTGGTTTGTGGTGGTGGTGGGTTGTAGTGGTGGTGGTGATGGTTTGGTGGTGGTGGTGTGGTGGTGGTGGTGTGGTGGTGGTGGTGTGGTGGTAGTTTGTGGTGGTGGTGGGTTGTGGTTGTGGCGCTGGTGGTTCGTGGGGGTGGTGGTGGTGGTGGTGGTGGCGGTGGTGGTGGTGGTGTGGTGGTATGTGGTGGTAGTGGTGGTGGTGGGTTGTGCTGCTGGTAGTGGTGGTGGTTGTGGCGCTGCTGGTGGTGGTGTTGTGGTAGATTTTGGTGGTTGTGGTAGTGGTGGTGGGTTTTTGTGGTGGTGGTGGTGATTGCGAGTTGTGGTGGTGGTTGTGGTTGTGGTGGTGTGGTGGTGTCGTGGTGGTGGTGTGGTGGTGGTTTGCGGCGGTGGTGGTGGTGGGTTGTGGTGGTGGCTGTGGTTTGTGGACGTTTGTTGTGGTGGTGGTGGTGGTGTCGGTGTTGGTGGTGTGGTGGTTTGTGGTGGTGGTGGTGGGTTGTGCTGCTGGTAGTGGTGGTGGTTGTGGCGGTGGTGGTGGTGGTGTGGTAGATTGTGGTGCTTGTGGTCGTGGTGGTGGGTTTTTGTGGTGGTGGTGGTGGTGATGATGATGAGTTGTGGTGGTGGTGGTGGTTGTGGTGGTGGTGGTGGTGGCTGTGGTGGTGGTGGTTGTGTGGTGCTGTTGGTGGTGGTGCTGGTGGTGGTGGTGGTGGGTTGTGGCGGTGGTGGTGGTGGTGGTAGCGTTGGTAAGTGTCGCTGAGTCCCCGCCGTTGCCGGCGCCAGCGCCGGCGCTGCTGGCCGCCGCCAGCGCCGGCGCCGTCGCGAGGGCGAGGGGGGGGGGGAGGGGTTTGAACCCTCCCCTCCCGGCGCCGGGGGAGAGGGGTTCAGACCCCCCCCCGTGCATGGGCTGCCTTTGGTCATCGTCGCTGCGTCCCCGCCGTGGGCGCTGCTGGCGGCCGCCAGCGCCGGCGACGGCGCCGAGAAGGGTGGGGGTTTGAACCCCCCCCCTGGGAGGGAGGTGGGGTGGGGGTCTGAACCCCCCCCCGGGGAGGGGGGTGGGGTGGGGGTTTGCTACGCCCCCCCCCTTGGCAGGCGGGGTGGGTGGGGCCGGGAGGGGTGGGGGGTGGGAGGGAGGAGAGTCCCCCTGGTTTGGTTTTGCTGGACGGCGCCGAGTATTGGGGGGGGCCACTCCCCGATTCGAAACGCGCCGCCGACTGTTCCCCAGGCAAGCGCCCATGAAACGCGTTCTCTCTGAACTCGAAAACTCAAGTTTCCCATTATGGGAAATCGATCGACGTGTTTTTTGGGCCTTGGAGGATGTGATGAGAGCTGGAAGGCTCTATGCGCGAAGCTGCTTAATCGGGTGTCCCGCATTCGCTCGCTTCACCTCCCGCTCATACACAATTTTCGTGAGTATGATATCGTTGGTCGACCTGTTGTTTCCCACCGGTGGCAAGTGTACCCTGGCACCAAGCACGCGATGGCCACCACACAGCATTTCAGCGGTTTACTTGCGCGCCGCGCCATGCCATCTCTAGTTCCCGTCTTTGTGGGATCGGGAATATCGGGGTAGCGGCTGAAACCAGGGACCTTGTTTGTTCTGCTCGTGCTGCTATGTTTCGGGCCGGTTCGGAGTCCAGGCAACTTGGAAATACTATTGCACGATTTTGCCCCATGACCGTTGGAATTTCAGGCAGTGGCGTCGTCTTCGTCCCTCGGTTTCCTAAGTGGTGGACGCCGTCGATCACATATTACCTGATGCAGTGCCGGAGAGAAATTCCGGCGATCTCCTGGGCTGGCCGTTCCTGACACCGTCGAGCTGAATGGCACGACCTACAAGTTTCTTCGGTTGCGATGTCCTCATCCTTTCGCTGTTCCTGATCTCGTGAGGCGCGCGAGGTATTTTTTGTCGGCGATCGTGTCAATTATTCTGTTGGTCGCAAGCTGAAAGCTTGTTCCGTGTATCGGGGGCGCCTATCGTCGCATCGTTTGCAATGCTTGGCCCACCACCCGCAGGTTCCGACAGGGAGCAGATATCTGCAGATTCGGGTGCTGCGCGGTCGGGGGAGACGAGGTGGTTAATTTCTTTTTTTGTCCGTCCCGTTTCCGTCTTGTTGTCATCTCGCGCCACCGTTGTTTGCATTCGTGTTTTCTCGCTTTGTCTCCCCTGCATCGTGTGTTCGTGCACGGAATTCCCCAGAACGTGCTTGAATGCCGGCTGGCTATGCTAAGCACTCATGGTTTATAATGTTTGACATATAACTCGATGCGTGCTGGCGGGAAGTAAGTACGGACCCAATGGGTACAGGCTCTCCTTCAGGCCCGCTGTCGAATATTGGCACGCCGGCGCTTTAAGATACGTGCCCCTCTCGCTCGAGGCGTCCAAGCGGACAAAAGACCCACAGGAAAATGAACGCTCCTCCTCCTCCTCCTCCTCCTCCTCCTCCTCCTCCTCCTTCTCCCCCTCCTCCCCCTCCTCCCTTTCCCTTTCCCCCCGTGTTCCCCTCCCCCTGCGTTCCCCTCCCCCTTTCCCACCTCCCCCCACTTCCTTCTTTTTCCCCATGCCCCCCTCCCGTCTCCCCATTTGATCCCTTCCCCCTTGCGCCCGTTTCCCCTCGGATCCCCCGGCGGTGGGTTGCCCGCGGCCCGCGGCCTGGCCAGGGAAAAGGGAGGCAGCCCACGCGGTTCCCGCCGCGCCGCCGGCTGCCGCCCGGACAGCGGAGCCCGTGGCTTTGCGGGGGGGGATGGCTTCCTCCGCATTGCTGCTGCTGCTGCGCCTCCTTGTTCAGGGGGTGCGATTCCGTTGGTGTTAGAGGTTCTTTCGGGGTGCTCTCCAGCAGCTGCGCCTCGTCGAGAGTTTTCTGGGGGTGCCTGGATCGTCCCGAACGGCCGCCGCGGGCCCGAGATGTGAACCGATGACCACCAATCGTCGAAGAGGGGGTTGAGGACCACGGGGGTCTGAATATCGTGGCCAGGGCCATAATTGTCCCACATACCACATACCATTGGCCCCTCCATTCTTCTTTTGGCACGTTTCTGGCCCCCTTTTTCGTTCGCGCGCATGCCTCGGTGCATGGTGCGCCCTCCCACTCTTCCTGGTCCCATTCTTCGGCGCGGTCGGCTCTTCGGTGCTGATGCTGCTCCTCCTCCTTTTCTTTCTTATTTGCTGCGCTGCGCCCAGCAAGGCCACAACGTGCAACCATAAAAAAACGGATTCGGGCGACCAGGCTTAGTTGGCCCGCGCCAGCGTACAACGACACAACGGCAGGGAGCAACATGGGCATAATATCCTGCATGTCCCTCTCCCCCTCCCTTCTGGGCCAGGTTCGTGTCCGCATGCGGATCCACAGGGAAGACGGAGTGCGCGCAGATCGCCAAACCTTGCAGCCATCTTTGGTCTGTTGCATACCCTGCCCAGCCTCATCATCATCTGTCCCTTTGTCTCGACGTCCTCCACTGGCTACGATCAACCACGGAACTTCACATGCTGATCTGGCTGGCAGAGATCAGAGGCCAGAGAGTACTCGTTGTTGCGAAACTAACTCCCCCCCTCCTTGGAGCAGGAGGGCAGAGGAGGGGGTGGAGGAGCAGGTGGGTTGAGGTTATTGGGAGTGACGTTGGAGGATAGTGGAAAGTTCTGGGGCGCGGTTGGGAGGGAAGCGGGAAGAGGAAATGGAGGGGCATCGTTGCCTTCCATGCTGCCCTGCCATCCCTCTGTATGATTTTGTTTGAATCCGCAACCCCAAGGAGGTTCACACCGCTTTCCCTGCAGGTGTCGTTTTGCGTCCCCGATTTCTTTTTGGTAGTCCTGGGGGCCTCTAGCGACTCCCGAGGGCCGCAATCGAGGCAAAGCCGCCGGTTGCAAAATCTGATCCTGGCAGATCTGGGCCACGGGAAGGTCAACCGCCCCGACCCCCGTGCTTCGCGTTTGCTAGACGGCCCCCCTGGCGTTTACGAAGCATCCCTGCCCTCTTTGACTCCTCCCGTGGATGCGTTTATCCAGCGCCTTCGCCTGTCGGGGAGCTTGTTGTGAGGGTGGTCTTGCTGCCCGCCGCTAGGGGACTCCGCCCCTCAGCGAGCGGAGGCCGCGCCCGCGACGCCCGCCGCGGCGGCGGCTGCGCCAGCGGCCGCTCCCGCGCCCGGTGCCCCCGGGCCGGTGCCCGGGGCCGTGGCCGCTCAGTGTGCGGAGCCTCGGGCTCCCAGGGGGGGGGGGGTGAGGAGAGGGAGGGAGGAGTAGAGGAGGTCGAGGAGGAGGTGGAGGAGGAGGAGGAGGAGGAGGAGGAGGTGCAGGAGGAGCAGGAGGAGGAGGAACCCAAGAATCCTCGACGATGTTGGAGTAAACCCTCCCTCCAAGTTCCTTCTCCACAGGCCCCTACGACGGTTCAGTCCCACTGGGGGAGTTGCCTCGTTGGTAGACAACCGTTTGAAGACCCTGAAGCATGTCAAGTTCTCGGGATTCCACCGCCACGGATCAACCTGCCTGTAGCGTCTTGACGATCTGGAGTCGCGCCAGAACGCCGTTCCTGGGACTCCAACACCGCGACTCAAGGTGACTGTTGCGCCCTCGTAATCCTGAGTCCTTTCAGAACAATTCCTGGTACGCTTCGTGAAACTCTCGCAAATTTTGAGAACGAATGCGCGTGGCGCTAAGGCGGGAACCACATTTTGAAAAGCACCCGCCCTGAATCCGTGAATCTTCTGCAACACATTACAAAACATTGGAAAAATCGCCCTCAAAAGCGACGGCGGGCCCGCGACCGCAGCCTTGAAGGCGGCCGTTAGAGGGATGCGATGCGAATTCTAGGGCTTTCGTCAGCCCGGCGGGGGGCGCCCTGGCCATCGGAGAATTTGAAGGTTCAGTTTTAATGGTTCACGGCCAAGGAAGTGCCGCGCAGATGTCAGGCAGAACTCGGTAGAAAAAACGCCCCGACCCATTGCTCGGTGGCGCGCGCGGCCTCAGTCGTAAACGCGTTCGCTGCGCGGGCCGGCGATCGAACCGTTCGCGCGACGTTCAGGGGGGGAACGTGCGCTGAAACATTCGCAATTGTTTGGGGGGTGCGCCATGCGCCTCAAGGCGCAGGGTAGAATCATGGCAATAAGCAGCGAGGGGGCACGTGGGGAAGAGGGGCGTTCTTCGGTGCCAGCAAAACCAGCCGGGATATCATCGTCGGCGCGTCGCAGGGAGCTGTTCAATCCCACGCGGAGAGATAGCGCGTTGACGAGGTGACCTGCGCGAGGTTTACCCTGGCAGCGGGACTCCACCGCCGCAGCAGAGCGCCATCGCCCACAGCGCGAAACTGCCCGACGGCGACGACCGCGCGGACACCGAGCCCGCCACTGCATGGAGGGCGGCAGTTAACGGGGCCAAGCGCTTGGCCGCGGGGCCCGCGCCAGGACGCCGCGGGCGTGAGGCCCGGGGAGAGGCGGCGCGCAGACCGCGCGACGCTGCCTGCAGGTCACGCGTCGTTGAACGGCAGCAGCGCTGGGGCTCCCCGACAGTTTAGACGAGGCGCGCCGCGGCGCAGGCGAGGCCGGAGCCGCGAGGTCAGGAATAAACTGGCGCCGCGCCAAGACCACGCCCCAGGTTGCCAGCCTCGGCGACGCGCGGACTTCCGTGGGCCAAAGGGTCTCCGGGCAGCGAGGGGCCCCGCGAAGCCAGCAATGCGCGCCGGACATATGTCCGCAAACTGAATGCGGGGAAGAAGGGCCGAATTAGACAATCGGCGCGCGAGTCGCGCCATGGCCGACAGCGCGGGAGAGCAAAATAAAGAATACCAAGGGAAGAATTGTCTTTGACGACGACGAAGAAGCCGAAGATGGGCAGATGACCCCGACGACAGATGCCACCTTCCACGCTGCCGGGGTCTAGGACCGGAGGGCGCGGGCGGGGGGGTCGACCCAGAGGACTTGCCGGCGGGAAAAACAAAAAGAGCGCAACGCAATCAACCTTGGACCAGGGGAGGAAGTAATCTGCGAAATTCGCACGAACTAACTAGGTAGTCGGCGGCGAAAGGAGGGGGCCGCAACAACTGGTCTTCGATGCGTGGTGAATGGTCCTTCTATGGATATGCATCGCCCATCAAAATGAAGTGGCATGGGTGGCATCCACGTCGCGCTGGGATTTTGAAACAGGAATGCGATGCTTGAGCGTTGCCCGTTGACCGCAATGCATCGGCCAGCCAGCCCTCGATGCCCGCGTCGCTGCGTCGAGGGCCATCTTGCGGGGCGCATTGCAAGGTTGGTGACTTTGTCCGACGCGTGAATTTACATGTGGCGTTTCCCCGACATCTAAGTTCACAGTTTGCGCGTCGCCACACATCGAGTTCACTTCTTCGGTCTGCTAGCCAATGGGAGTTTGAAACCAGGTAATGTGGGTTCACATTTTGCGCGTTTTCGAGAATTCATGGGTTGCTTTTCCCCGGCAGGTGACTTCCGATTTATGCGTTCGCCTCAAATGTGAGTTCGCATATTTGCGTTGTTCAACGCGTGGATTCCTTTGCGCTCGCGCCAGCGAAAATGTCTGGGCGATGCGTTGCCGCCAACGGACAGCGCGAGAGCGTCGCCTGCCCGCTTCAATCTGCCCGAGCGATGCGGGTGCCAATTATGACTGGTCATGTAATAAGTCGTAGATGGGCAATGGGGCTCCCATTGAAGCCTCCCCATTGCGGGCCCCTCCTTTCTCCCTCCATGGTAACGCCTGTCTCTGACAGCCGCGGTGGATCTATGACCGCAAAACAATCGTGCCCCGCGAGAAGATGAGGGACAAAAAAGGCCAGCAATATATTCAAGCACGTCTCTGAAACCTACTCGCCCGTTAGAGCGCAGGCGTGGCGGACGACGCGCGGCTCGTTCCCGGGTCGGCCATGCGCCTGACAGCTTGCGAGGGCAACAGTGACCTGCGGACCTCTCGCCGCGCAGCCGCGAGAGGGAGAGCCATAACCAATCGTCGAGCGGAAGTCGGCTATTCTGTTGGTCGTTCGCTTCGCGCGTTTGACCTTTACTTGGCTGCGCGCGTTTAGCGCATGTCGGATTGGGGGGGGGGGCCGGGGGACATCCTGATCTGTTGGTTAAAACAGCGCGTGTGTAATGTCGGCGAGAAGCGGCCTGCAAATTCTGTTCGGGCACAGAGCTGGCGCGCCCAGTGAGAGCGTGGCCGCGCGAAGTACGCGCAGGCGCTCGGGCGCCGGCGCTTGCGAAGCGGGGCGCGCGCCCGTTCGACGCGGGGCAAGAGGTTTACGGGGGAGACTTGAAACGCGAACGTGCCGACGCGACTCATGATCCACAGTGGCTGCGTATGGGGGGGGTCATGTTAAAAATGCGCGCGCCCGCTCCCGCATGTGGATCTCGGGGGGGGGGGGGGGGGGGGGGCGGGCAATGGGGGCAGAGGCATATCCCGTTGTCTCTGTCGCGCAATTCCGATTGGGCTACTGAGGCAAATAAGCAGGGCGAAAGAGGTGGCCGCGCAGTCATGGCAGAGGAGATCAACTCGGCGCACCCGGGCGCGGGGGCCAGTTTACACGATGGAACCCGACGCAGGGGTCCCGGGGGAGAAGCAGAGTTACGTTGGACGAGAGAAGGCTTCGGAGCTTGGGCGTTAAACCCGCCTGGAAAAGAGCGCCGGTCGGCCTCGCCGGTTCGGTGGCGCCCATGATCAGGATTTGATTGAGGTGGAAATCAACGTGGATTTTGATGTTTGAACCAGATGGAGTTCATGGCCAGAAATGCAAGAGGTGGAGGACCAACCAGCTCGAATATTGAACGGCGTACTTGGGTGGGGCAGCGATGGGCTCTGGCGCGAAGCTGACCCAAGACATGGGAAGATATTCGTTAAACAGCTCGACGTGGAGAGCAACGGCTATGTCTAGCACCCCCGGGGAAAGGCTTCCCATCAAAGAGATGGGCGAGATGTGGCCATTTCAGCAAGACGCGCTAAAAGTATTATTCTTTGTCGTGCGAGCCAATCATCCAGCGCGAGATCGATTAGGCATTCAATGCCCAGTAAGACAACTAGAGAGGCACGGGGCCATACGTAGCGTTGGAGCCTGGAAAAACTTAGAGAAATTATCCCAGTGCGACCCTACCTAGGAGTTGGAGCCCCTAGGAAAGCAGCATTAGTAGTAACAGTAAAGCTGAACTAAAGCTAAGCTAAAACTAAGCTAAAGCTAGGCTACAGCTAAGCTCAAGCTAAAACTAAGCTAAAGCTAAGCTAAAGCTAAGCTAAAGCTAAGCTAAAGCTAAGCTAAAGCTAAGCTGAAGCTAAGTTAAAACAAAGCTAATGCTAAGCTAAAGCTAAGCTGAAGCTAAGTTCAAACTAAGCTAAAGCTAAGCTAAAGCTAAGCTAAAGCTAAGGCCAAGCTAAGGTAAAGCTAAGCTAAAGCTGAGCTAAAGCTAAGCTGAAGCTAAGCTAGAGCTAAGCTAAAGCTGAGCTAAGGCTAAAGCTAAAGATAAAGCTGAAGCTCCCAGGGGACTGCGGGAACCGCTCCCAGGGGACTGGGGGAACCGCCCGGGGCGCTTTCCACTGCCCGGCCCTTTTAAGCTAAGAGAGTAAGAATCCTCTAGGCAGAGCCTAGGTAGGGAGCTTGGCGCATACTTCGCTCGCCAAAGTCGATGCAGTTACGCATGCAAGTGCCAAGCTTTACCGCGGGAACTGATGGTATGCGTTGACGCCGAGTATGTCGGGTGTAAGAACAGCCGTGGGGCAGCGAGTGGGGTAGAAGTTATGTGGGGAGAGCACATCATAAAGACGCGAGCAACACCCGGAGTATTATTGCAGTGTCCTCAGGAGAAGCAGAATATTATGGGATGGTGAGAAGAGGGCTCAGTATGGGTAGTCCTACAAACAGGTCTCAGGGACTTCGAGATCCCCGCGCGGGCGGCGATACAGATCTGATGCCACACCGGCAATATCAATCGCTAGCAGGTGGCGTGGAAAGTTAGACGCGTAGAAGCATGTCAGCTGCGGCTGCAGGAGAAGCAGGAGAAGGTCCGGAGCAGAGCCTTCCGAGTGGACAACATTATGCGCCAGCGACAGTCTTGCCGACGCAGTAAGTAAGTACGTCAGCAGCGACGCGCTCGCTCAGCACATGTGTCCCACTAACCGAATGGCACTGCTGGGGAGGCGTAGGTTCGCGCCTGCCACGTAATGCTAGCGCATGCTGCAGCTGTTTTTGCGGCCCAAAATATTTGCTCTCACGC